GCCGATGAATTGTCTCTTGGTGGTCTGCGATGCTCGGAAATTCTTTTTTTAAATTCCTACATGTTTGTCCCACATATGACATTTCACAAATGAAACAGTTAATTTTGTAAACTACATTACTGTGCTGGGATCGGGTAAACAAACTTTATAGACTGTAATATCATGGTCAAATTTGTTAAAACATTTAAAGGCTAATCTTGTATTGTCAATGATAATTAATAACTTAAAACTTTCTGAAATTTCGCCCAAATAAGGTACCGTAAGAAAGGATGGTTTAACTTCCGTATCCTCATTGTTATTGTTAACAGAGAAGATCATGGAAATTTTTTGGAAAAGAATAGGAAGGCGATGTTTAATTGTCTTAATTAATAAATCTAATGGATAACCATTTTTCAGGAGGATATCAATAAATAGTTTAATATTTTTTTCCTGCTATTTTGGATGGCTTAACGTAGCGTATTAAGCTTTGCGGCATACATTTTTCTTTACACGGAAAACAGCTGAAAATTGTTACCCGGGGGTTTTCGGGGTCGCTGATTACGAATCTGAAGTCAGATTTTGAAAATTCAAAATGGCGGATCCAAGATGGCCGTCCGAAAAGCGAAAAATTACCCAAACTTGATCATACTGAGTTCTCGGGGGTTTTCGAGGTCGCTGATTACAAATCTGAAATCAGATTTTGAAAATTCAAAATAGCGGATCCAAGATGGCCGACGGAAATGTGAAAATTTACTTGATCGAGATAAAACTGGGTACTTTATGTATTCTGAATTTTGAATTTATAAGTCTGAGATCAGATTCGTAATCAGCGACCCCGAAAACCTCTGAGTACTCAGTTTCATCAAGATCGGGTAATTTTTCACTTTTAGGTAGGCCATTTTGAATCCGCCATTTTGAATTTTTGCAATCTGAGATCAAATTCGTAATGTACGATTACCTGACTGACATTACCCGCACTGTGTCAAGCGAAACTATGAGTAGAGCAGTCTAGGCTAACTTGGCGTTTTCGGTTTGGGGCAGTTTTCATCTTGGATCCGCCATTTTGAATTTTTAAAAACTGACACCGGATTCGTAATTAGCGACCCCAAAAACTCTCTAGATATCATCTTCAGATTATTTTATACTGTTAATTACTCAGAATTACATTTATTTAAAAAAAAATCGTTATTTTTAAATTAATTTATTTATAACGTTCAATTAATTAACAATAACATTTGTTTTCTTTTTTATTTCTATGAAGGGATGTTCTCTAATACATTTTATATGCTTTTTGTCATTAAAACTAATTAAATAGTGTTTCAAAAATGTAAAAAAGTGTACAGAAAAAGGTGTCACTCAGGAGTGACCCTATGCCGCAAAGGGTTAAAAGAAGTGTCCTATCAATCTGTCCATAAATGGTACTAATTTTATGGCATATAGGGTGGAATGACTGGAAATTCAGAAATCTGCCTGAGAAAATGTATTTGTGAAACCAATCAAATTCTAAAATTCCATTAGAAATCTTAATGACATTAAAGAGGTCAAGTCCTCAATGGCAATAATACTTATATAAAAATTGACCGTGATCCAATTAATAAACTGACTAATGATCTTCATGAAATTTTAGTTAGGTGGAAATAAAATTCATATATAAATGCCTCTGAGTATAAGACTTTAAATTGCACAGGCAAAGTTCTACCCCAGGCATATGGATTGCCAAAAATCCACAAACTCAACTGCCCATTACGGATAATTATTTCACCTATTAATAGTCCTCTTTACTATCTTTGCTACTCCTCTTACTGTCTTTATTTTTACATAAAATTATCATCAAAAGTATTCCACCGCCTGAAAGTAGAATTTCCATTAGCTTTAAATTTGTTTCCAAATTTTCTTTGATTAGAATTGACACTGTGACGTGGCGGCCCTGACGGCGCCTGTCACAAGAAATACGCGGTTTCGTCTATCTAATTTCGCGCATGCCTGGAGTGATTATATAGCGCTCCCGTATTTTCGAGAATAAGATTGACGGTTTTCCGCGGTCATATCAGTCATACATAGCCGTGACAATTAGCGAAAGGAATAAGGTTAATTAAGTGGGATGGTCAGTGCGTCCCCAAGTTTGTGCCCTCAGCTCACCTTGCCGACCACGAAAGGAAGAAGATGCAGGACAACGAGGGACCGAAGAAAATAAAGGATCGCATCGCTCTCGCGGAGGGTCGCCGTTTAAATGGCACACAAGTAACGACACTTTAACTCTCGTCACATAAGAATTTGTTATCCGATTTTGGCTGCTGTTGGCGACGTTTGGTTACAGTAACACTGCGAAACGCGGAAAGGAGAGGTACGAGAAGGGACCGCAACAACTGACGAAGACCGACAGTGTCAAGGCAAGTGCCGCGGAAACAATAATATCCCGGCGAGACAGGATCGAGAACAAGAGAGAGAGAGAGAGAGAGAAATAGAACGAGACAGAGAGGGAGAGACAAAAGTAAATAATACCGATAACGGAGAGACAAAAGAGAGATTAGATTCGATCCCGGTTTAGCGAACGGTTCGGAGTTTGAGATACGATCGTACCGAGTTTTTGTCTCTTTTTCGTGACGTACCGGAACGGGCACTATCAAGAGCTCCCGGAGAGCATAGTATCGACTCGCCTACCGACAAACCACTAATTATCGTCGCGACGAGGCGTTAGTGGTCAGTGGTCACGGGCGACCCGACATCAGGAATGAAAGAGACGGCCGAAGTTCACCACCTCCACAGAATAAGGAACCGGACGCAGCGCAGAGGATCGTAAGGCCCGGGGACAGTGGCGAAGAGAAGCCTGACTTTTATAAGACTTTCCACTCGTTTTGTATAGTATCGTACTAGTCCTGTATCGTTGAGATCGTCGCATGCGGAGTGGCCTCACGAATGAAAGACAGAAGTTGCGAGCGATACCGGTTATCGTATCGACGCGAGAACTTGGCATAATTTTGGAGAACAAACATTCGGATTGAGGGCGTTCCGATTTGAATAAAGAACTGTTACCGACAGACCGAAGTCGTTTTTTTCTCGATCCTAGTGATCCTCGTGGAAAACCCATCCCATCTCCGACTCAAATTCCCAAGGAGCTACCAGTCCCGTGGAGTCCCGTCGCCTTGCCGATATTGATGCAGAACATACTGTCGCGAAGATTATTGGTGAGAAGGTATGGCCTTTACCATACCTGGCGCCCAACTAATAATATCGTCCGGAATAGCGGGCAGTGGCTGGAATTTGCGGTAATTTGTAGATGCGGCGGACAGACGGTCGTCCGCCTTGGTTAGAAAGAAAATTACGTCGCAACACACACTACGAGCTCCTTTCCTTAGATGCGGTTTCTTTGTTTACCAACATTCCTACAGACTTGGCTATTTCGGGCATTAACAATCGTTAGCGATTTATAAGCGGAATACACGAAGATCCCTCGTGACGAATTTATGGTCACGGTAACTTTTGTTTGGAATTCAACGTTTTTTAAGTTGAATGATATAATTTTTAAACAAACTTTTGGCAATCCAATGGGATCATCGTTATCCCTCATTATAGCAGACATAGTTCTTTAGGACTTGGAAGTTAGAGCTCTTAATAGAATTCCTATACCAGTCTCTATACAGGGTGTCTGGTAACTGATTGAACAACCGCTATGTACAGGTAGAACAGGTCAAAATAATCATAAAAATTATACACCATTTTGAAATTTTCTCAATATTTACTCCGTAATTAATGAAAATGTATAAACGAATCAGCGTACGAGAAGCGGTAAGACAGGCTCTATGTGTGAAAGAAATAGCTTACCTCTTAGCAACGATAAATAAACAGCTGATTTCGCGGCGGAATAACAAGCGATACGTAGCATGTGGCCACGCACCAAAAAATTATTGTCCTCCGTGACAGATTCACATGACTCCCCGGATTCACGTAGCAAAAAATAATAAAGCGCAATCATTTCCTCACCACCTAGCGTTAGATAGTACGGTGCGTTTTTTTTTATAGTGGTATCCCCAGTAGGCCTAATCCACTCTCATTATTTAATGCAAAAATTACTCGAAGTGTCGTCCTCTCTGCTGTACGCAGAATTCGGCTCTTCGAACAATATTGCGTGTTGCACGGTGCACCGTTTCCAGAGTAATAGTACCGAAGGCTGTAACAACAGCTTCACGTATCTCGTTTTCTCTACTATTACGTCGATGCTTGACTAGATTTTTTATATGACCCAATACAAAAAAATCTAGTACGTTTAAGTCTGGCGACTGTGCCAGCCAAATGATTGAGTCACCACAACCCATCCACTTATCAGAATAACGGGCGTCTAATATATCCCGTACTTGTCGAGAAAAGTACGCAGGAGCTCCGTCGTGCTGAAAAATCAGCTGCGCTCGTGTGCGAAGAGGCACATCGGCGAGGAGTACCGGCAACTCCGTCTCTAAAAAGTCAGCGTATATTTTGCCATTTAAACGTGGTGGCAAAAAATACGGACCAATCTGGAAATCATCGACGAAAATGTTTAGATTTAGTGGCGAAAGAAAAGTTGTTTTTGTCCACATTATTATTTTTCTCCACATTATTATTTTTCTAACAGATTTATTATTAATCTATCATGTTTATTATACAAGATGTCTCATACTTTCCTTCGCAATTTTTGTGGAAACGTAGAACGGATTAAAATAAATATAAAAGTCCTGTACTGTTTTGCGATATTTGCAATAACAGTGGAAATTTTAATTGTGAAAGATTAAGAAAAAAGCGCACATCGATTGGTAGAAGAAGGAGCGCTCGAGCTAGTGTAGCCCAATACTAGCACGCGGCAAAGGGAAGCGCGGCGATATAAGCGCAGATAGCGACGCGTTATCCTTCCACTCGTCACGTGTCGGCATGACGTTCACAAAAATTGCAGAAAAGAGTCTGGGACCATATATACTATGCACCTGGCATCGTAGCACTACAGTACCACTGGCTTCATTTTATTCATTATATTTTTTTATTTTTACTTACAGTCAACGTCACTCATACCGGCGTTTAATGAAGTTAATTCGAGTAGATCACCAAGTCCAAGAAGATTGATCAAACAGTTGGCACTGGAATCGTCTCCGCCAACGGTTGATTCGGGAGATTTTCTTTCGAAAATAACGGATTATGATCAAAAACTTAAATCAAAGGATCAATTCCGTATTCAACGTGATAAGACGCTAAAGATTACCAATACCAACACAGATCAAGACACAATTACTGACGCAAGACGACCAGAGTCGTGGTAAATTCCCTCACTAACAAATTATTATATCTTTACAATAAATAAACATTCATTCTTTTTATTGTTGTTTAAATAATTATGATATTTTAATTTATAAATTTTAATAATTATAAATTTTAATTTATAAATTTTTTCTCGTCCAATAGGTCTGGGCCACAAGTTCAACAAAACTTAGACTTTTTCTCTCAGCAGGCGTATCACGCAGATTTTAATTTGAAGCAGAGTTTATTCCGTATTGGTGATGATTGTGTTTACGATAGGTGCTCGGAATGTGGAACGATCAAAGAAGAGTATTCTGATGAAGAACTTGGATTATGTATAATAACTCTAGGGACGTTTATCCATCGAGAACCATCTTTAGCAGCACCGTTATTGCCAGAAATACTCGGCGTGGTGACCAAGTAAATATTGACGCATTTTTAAGCTAACATATTGTTTTTAAGCTAACATATTGTTGCGTTCGCGCTTACACTTGCGATCGTGCACGGAAGAAATGGACAGTCACAATTGCAAAAGAACGAAAAGCTTTATTATTTACAGCAAAATACGACTATATAGACTTAATATCAATACAATCCAAACATGTCCGCTCGCGACAATGACTCGCTGTCAACTCTCCGTCAGCTGTTGTTTACTGCTGGTTGTCAACCGTGCCCCTTTGCTTGTCTCTCTATACCGGGACTATCGAAACCGATGCATCTCCGGTAACGCGGGCGCAATAATATATACTAACATATAATAACTAACATATACAGGGTGAGTAAAAGTCCCGGACCAGTGAAATATCTCGAAAACTAAGTATTTCCGAAAGAAATGTTTCCTACAAAAGTTGTAGAGTTTCAAATAATCTATTCACTGATCTGGTCAATCTGACTTTGGGTGGCGTCACCAAGGTTAAGTCAAGGTCAACTTTGCTTTTTTAAATAGAAATATGTATTTTTTATTACGGAATTTTATTCTACGTAAAGAAACAAACAACTTTTGTTTGAAAAATTTTTTCGTACTACCCCTATTTTTAAGATATTTACGGAAATATCTACAAAATTATTGGTTTCAATAATTTTTTACTCCAATTCTATCAAATTACCGAAAAATAGCAAAAAATAAAAATTATTTATTTTCTTTTCATAAAACTTTGAGAATTTTTTCAGAATTTTTTAATTAACTTTTTAGTATTGCGTTTTCTTGCAATTTCTTGAAGTACTAAAAAGAAGTTTTAAAAAATTCTTTAAAAATTTTCAGCTCTATAAGAAAAAAATAGATAATTTTTATCTCTTGCTATTTTTCAGTAAAGTTGAATAGAATTCGAGTAAAAAATTATTGAAACCATTAATGTTATAGATATTTCCGTAAATATATTAAAAAATAGAGGTCGTATAAAATTTTTTTGAAACAAAAGTTATTTGTTTCTTTACATAGAATAAAATTCCATAATAAAAAATATATAAGGTACAGTAAAAAGAAATCCATTATTTTTCCAATAGATGACTTTAGTAATGTGTATCTCGCGTTGTATAAGTGCAATCGGTTTACGCTAGATGGCGTTAGAAAGATAAGATTTCGTACTAAAAAAACTTCTCAGACAATTTTGTGGTCGTTTGACTCAATATTGTTTGAGCGCGCGTCAAAGATAGACACCAGCAAAGAGAAAATACGCTATATTTTACAGTTTTTCTTCGATAGAGGCGAAAACGCAAGCCAGGCGGCTGAAAATGTGAATAGTGTTTATGGTCCTGATACTGTAACAGCCAATCACGCGCAATTTCGGTTTCGTCGATTCCGTTCCGGTAATTTTTATGTCAAAGATGCACCACGCCTCTGGAAGGCCAATTGTCGAAAATGTCGACAAAATAATGGAAATCGTCGAGTCCAACCGTCATGTAAGCACTGTTTCGATTACCCAGGAGCTAAACATTGCACAAAAAACCGTTTGGAACTACTTAAATAAGGCTGGATACAAAAAGAAGCTCGACGTATAGGTGCCACACGAGTTAACGCAAAAAAACTTCATGGACCGAATTTCCATCTGCAAATTGCTGCTGAATCGCAACAAAATCGACCCATTTCTGCAGCGGATGGTGACTGGTGAGAAAAAGTGGGTCACTTACGACAACGTCAAGCGAAAACGGTCGTGGTCGAAACGCGGTGAGCCGGCGCAAACGGTGGCCAAGCCAGGATTGACGGTCAGGAAGGCTTTACTGTGTGTTTGGTGGGATTGGCAGGGAATCATCCACTATGAGCTGCTCCCCTACGGCCAAACTCTTAATTCGGACCTACTGTCAGCAATTGGAGCGTCTGAAGGAATCAATCGCCCAGAAGCGGCCAGCTTTGGCCAATAGGAGAGGAATTGTGTTCCATCAGGACAACGCCAGGCCACACACATTGATAGTGACTCGCCAGAAGCTCCGGGAGCTTGGTTGGGAGGTTCTTATGCATCCACCTTATAGTCCGGACCTAGCACCAAGTGATTACCACCTGTTCCTCTCTATGGCGAATGATTTTGCTGGTGAAAAATTTGCCTCAAGAGAAGCTTGTGAAAATCGACTGTCCCAATTTTTTGCCAATAGGGACAAGGGTTTCTATGAGAGAGGCATAATGGAATTATCTTTAAAATGGCAACAAGTTATCGAACAAAACATTACATATTTGACCTAAATCGGATCATTCTAACTATGCTAAATAAAGCCTTTAATTTCATGCAAAAATAATGGATTTCCTTTTACTACACCTTATATGTTTCTATTTAAAAAATCAAAGTTGACCTCGACTTGATCTTGGCGGCGCAACCCAATGTCAAACTACCATCTTATGTTCTCTATCGAAACATATAAGTTTTGAAAGATTTTTCCGTATCTTCCATATTTTTCGAGATTTTTGCCTGGAGAATTTAAAGTAGGACACCCTGTATAACAATAACATATATAATACACATGTATAACATAGCTAACATACATAACATAGTTAACATATATCACTCGCTTTTATGTCCAAGATTCATATATTACTTATTTTCTTTTTTCATTATTATCCTTGCAAAGAACATATAAACCAATTATCGTTAAATGATAATAAAATATTGGTATATTGACAGGATTGCGCTTAATGCCATGTATCCTTGGCAAAGTGAAACAAACATGCACTTACCAGGTGGTGCAGTCAGCGTAGCACATCAATTTCTTAGATGCGTTCTTCATCAATTGGCACCTAATGGAGTATTTATGCAAATGTTTCAGACCAATTTAAATGGTAAGAATATGATAGGATTTATTGTTGAATGTCGCTCAATAATGTTGCTCTATAATTTATTTTCTTTAAATATTTCAATTTATAATCATTTAAATTTTTTAAAGAAGAAACACGTTAAGAGGACACATCTGCATGGACAGGTCAAAACAAAGCTTAACTTCGTAATTTTTACGGAAAAACAGAAAAAGATAGAAAAGTCGTATTTATTCTATTGCAAAGATCATATTTTTCTTTATTTTAAAATTAGATTTTATTTTTTTAAATATTAAAAAATGGTGGCGCTATGTAATATTTTGTGAACTATTTTTAAAAACGGCGTAAAAATCAATTTTTTAAAATAGCATTTGTGATGACCACCATTAGTCCCACACGATACATCTAAAAGTAAAATAGAAGACTGCATAAACACAGCTTCGATTTTTTTCTTTTTGAAATATGTTATAGAGAATGAAATTCTGAGCAATTTTTTCTTAAACCACCATATATTATTTCCTATATATGGCGGTCGCATATATAATACATACAGAGTTCGCGTTTATCGTGTCGCTCTATCTTTAAAATTGACGAATCGATAAAAAATTTAAATTGACGAATGATATCATCATTGCACGAATTATCGTAGAAATGTATGTCATGGAACAACACTATACGTGTAAACTTGTCACTACCTGCCGGAATTTTTATATAGAAATTTTGAAGGTTAAAGTTATTGTTCAGCACTCTGATGTCTGGATGCATTATAAGCTCCTTCAATTCAGTATTTATTTCATATGCATTCTCAGTCGCAATTCTACGTGCATCTTCCACTATCTGATTGATGTGCTCCAGCACTAAGTCACGAGGCCAGCAAATTTGGGAGTAGAACCTGAGAACTTCAATATTTTCCTTCACTCCGCGTTTGTTTATTCCCCGCAAACCGAGTTCTTTGTCACGCAAAAATTGCACCATCGATATCTTTCTTGATTTTGTCTCCATTTTAGCCGTTCAATTTATTGCATGTGTCCCGTATCTGTTGCTGCTTGGATCTCGACTGAACTATGTACCGATGTAATACTCATGATTTTATATGTTTTAAAACGTGCAAAATATGCATATCTCCATGATCTTCATGATGGTATCTTGTTTCACATTTTTCTGCGCATCTTGCTGTCAACCACAAATCGATGCGACAGCACTAAAATGCTACA